TATTGTTTTCTTTTTTGAATGTTAATCTTTGGTTTTGAGCGTGCAGTGGTAGGTGTATTATCTAGAAAAGTGTGAGGTTTTGAGCTTGCAGTGGTAGGTGTATTATCTAGAAAAGTGTGAGGTTTTGAGCGTGCAGTGGTAGGTGTATTATCTAGAGAAGTGTGAGGTTTTGAGCGTGCAGTGGTAGGTGTATTATCTAGAGAAGTGTGAGGTTTTGAGCGTGCAGTGGTAGGTGTATTATCTAGAGAAGTGTGAGGTTTTGAGCGTGCAGTGGTAGGTGTATTATCTAGAGAAGTGTGAGGTTTTGAGCGTGCAGTGGTAGGTGTATTATCTAGAGAAGTGTGAGGTTTTGAGCGTGCAGTGGTAGGTGTATTATCAAGAGAAGTGTGAGGTTTTGAGCGTGCAGTGGTACATGATCTGTCTGAACAAGGGGAATTTTCGAGCTTGCAGTAGTAGATGTTTTATCGGAAGAAAGATGATTTTCGAGCTTGCAGTAACAGATGTTTTATGGGAGGAGTGACGATTTCCAGCTTGCAGTGGTAGATGTTCAGTCAAGAGAATTACAGTTTTTTAAGGTTGCAGTAGTAGGTCTTTTGACTTTTGAGCTAGGCATGAAAAGATTGACTTTGATCTACGCATTGTTAGATGTCTGAAGAAGGGTGAAGTTTTGAGCTTGCAGTAATAAACATTCTACTAGGAAAAGGATGAGGTTTTGAAGTGGGGTTATTTAGCAAGAGAAAGATAAGACATTTTAGCAGAAAAGTGAGGTTTTACGCTTGCAATAATAAACCTTAGCAGGAGGTTTGTATTTGAGGTTTTTAACAGAAGTAGTAGACCTCCTACGTGAAGTGTGTGGGGTTTGGTGCTTACAATAGCAGACTTCCTAGTAGAGAAGAGATGTGTATTTGTGTGTGCATATGTATGTTGGTTACTGTGAATAAGGTCTCAGAGGTGGCAGCTCAAAACCAGATTGAGAAACATTAACTTGGATAAACTTGCTTAATTCAGTGCTTACATTATTGTTTGTATTGAATGCTTTCCTACTGTTCAGTTGTTGAGCTGTTTTTCTGCAGAAACCTTACTATTTTGTGTTGTCTAGTGGTATTCATTTTTATTGCCTTGACTTAAATGATATAAATGTATCCAATACCCGTAGAAATTCCATTGAAATGACATAAGTTGTATATACTGTACTTCTCATACATGCCACCAGTGTAAAGTGTGCAGGCTGTTTGTGTGGCTTTTGTTAAATGTTATTTATTAGTGCCTATGGAAGAAGCAGTGCTTACCTAGTGACTTGACATTTATTTGCCTGCACACCAGCCCAGTGGAACTTATTTCATTTCCTTTCAAGGTGGTCATTTTTTATGCCTGACTCTCGGGCTCCAGCTTTCTTATTTCCTCATCTCCTCTCTCCATTTTCTCATCTTCTCCTCTTCCACCTCTCTTCGTTGCCACCTGAAGATGGTATCAAGCACAGAGCATGCTCTCCGTAGCTCCTGCAATCATTCTTTTTATTATTAAGTACAAAACCATAGAAAATATTCTTTCACTAACCAGATGTTCCACGTTCATGACTGTATAAACCACAGCCAATCAGCCAATAGGCACGTAGGTAAACTGTAGGCTTAAGGTTTTGTTGTCAAGGTTGTTTCCTCTAGATCCGTTGTGTTTTTGCCTCTTCGGTAGAAGAATTTTCCTGAACAAGGGACTTACGACCTAAGTGTGCCCCTTTAACCCTATAGGTACACATACTCATAGGGCGAGACCAAGCTCTCAAGGCAGAACAGCCAGAATGCTCCACTGAAATCATGCAGACAAGAAGCACGTCTAGCATGAAGCCCTGGGTAGATCTAAGGGTCACAGACTGAAAAGAGTCAGGTCTTGGATGGCGCAAGCTGAAAACACAATCAGAGGTGTGCAGGCTTGATAAATTTGTGCGAGGTGAGGAGTGGGTCAAAGTGTCTGAGCAAGTTTCAGACTTGTGTAGGGTTCTTATCACTTTGGGTCGTGAGTGCAGAGACTGGCCAGCTGGTGCTGCAGAATTAGAAGTTCAACGAATAATTCATGACAATTCCCGCGCAAGTGATGTGATTATCTATACAGATGGCTCTGTGTTTAGGGGCAAACAAAATGCATAGTGGTTTGTAGCAAAGGCGAATGGACGTCACTTAGTGCAACAAAGCCCAGCATATGATATCACTACGTCTAGTTTGAGAATATTGGTAGAGGCAGTTACTGCTGCCTTCCGCTGGCTTAAGAATCAGCTGTACACACATGCCGTGATCGTCACTGACTCACAGAGCATGTTGAGAAAGGTGGAGACAGGCATGCTTCGTGCAGAGTAGCAGGCATCACTTCAGAGGTCCCGGGTAGTTAACATCCTTTGGATATTCTCCCCAGGTAATGCCGGTGTGTTGGGAAATGAGCAGGCAGATAGACTGGCCGGTTCTACACCACTTGGTGGGGAACTGATTTATGACAAGCTAGATGTTGTGAGAGCCCTCTGGGAGCGAGTGAACAGTGCGGAAGTGCAAAATATCATTACCGTCTGAGGGGAATGGTGCTGTGAGGAGTAACCAGGGAATCTGGCCGACGCTCAACACTCAAGGGAAAGGGGAGACAGATATACAATCAGTCAGTTACTGGTGCCATCGGAATTGGAACTCTTTGTTTGCTGCCGAAGATGGGGACAGAGCGCTTATGGGGGTGTCCCGAGTGCTATGATGTTGATTCTTAATTCATCATTCAGAATGGTCAGACATTGTTTCCCTCCAGGATTTATGTCCTTGGGATTAACATCTCATGGATGAGGATCAGACAGGAGTACATCCAGAAGTGTTGCTCAACCTCATGACACAGCTGGGGCATCCCTACAGTTACAAAATAACTTGCAGTGTCATGCATGTATATTTGTCTCAAGATGGAATTTAATAAGAATATTCTGTTGAAATAGGTAGCAGAAAATTTATTGAGAGATAAAGTTGACAGTGTCATACTGGCTTCATATTATGAAGGAAGTGTCATCTAGTCATAGAAATGTTGACTCAGCACCATGTCCCAAAATGCCACAGTGACATGAAACAGGCCTTCTTCTCCTTCGTTTGTCAGAGGATGCAATTGTTTTATGCTTGTTTACAGCATGGTTGTGATATTTACATCTGTCTGCCAACACTTCACATCTCTTCCAGGATTTGTTGTCCGGTTTAGTCTTCCTGTAACAGAACCCTAATGTACACAATCCCTGTACAATGTTTTTGTTAAGCTGTTTGTCAGAGGGAAAAGAAAAATGAATATTACTACTTCTACCTTCACTCTTGCTGTAATGTTATATGGCACTGTGATAGTTTTTTTTTCTTTAAGATGAATCCATGATCTTAGATTTGTTGGTGAAGCATACATTAAATGGCAGGCTTTTCTTCACAGTATTCTAATTTTCTCAATCAACTGACACTTACATTCAGTTTTATTAGTTGTTTTCTGTGATAATTAAATAATTAATATTGCTAGTACAGTGTTTGTGCATGTTCTTTCTTTGACTTTGAGTGATTTATGTTGGTATATAATTTTAAAAAAAACATGTACTGTTTCCACATAACTGTTTCCACACCTTGAGGGATTATTAGATGTGTGGTGTTGGTCCCATAATAAGGGATGCAGAGGAACTGAACTATACATGGAGGGGCACTAGGACCAGGGCTCGTACTGGTCAAGATTTATCCTCACCTCTTCTTCGTGCATCCTAGAAACAGATTCCCTGCTAGGGGCCTGGCCAGTGTAGATCAGCTCCACATCTTCTAAATGACAGTGCATCTACCTGAGAGACAAGGAAGCAACAGTCTGTACACGAATAAGCCAGATTTGTAAAACAGATGTTTATGCAATAGTCAAGTCCTGAAACAAGACCAGTGTTCAGAAGGTGACAAACAACCAGAACTTTCCGCTGAAGTTTACAGCCAATGAACAATAAGAAGAAGAAGAAAAGAAGGGTGTCCCATATTTGTATAGATCAAATGGTTTTCTAGCGATGATGTAGACAATATACCTATTGTGAAACTGATTAGTGGTTTTAGTTTTGGGGCTGAAATGTGTGCACTTTAAATGTGTCCCTGTTTTTGCGACTGCATCAATCAGTACAAGCTGTTTAGGGAAGTAAATATAAGCAAAGGTGGTCTCTATGGGTAAGCGTGTCCCTCATTCTCTGAAGGTCATATGTTCATTACACAGACTGTCATTCTGTTCATGAATACAAATTTACGAAGATCCCTGGGGATCATCACTCGAGCTGTGAGCTCATGCTTTCTCTGATGCTCTCTGCAGGCAGAGAGAATGAGCCATAGTGAACTTGATCTTCTCAACCTTAAAATCGGTCAAGGATCACATGTCCAAAATGCTGTTATGACATGGATATTGGGGTCCTTTGTGTTTTAGATTTATTGTCCAGCTATAAATGTAAGTATATAGTAATCTTGTGACAATTACTACTGAGTGTGTGTGAGGTGTTGAGGTGAGATCACTTGCCGTCTCCACAACAAAGGTTGGATACAAGCGATCTTCATACAGTCTCTTGTTAGATAGTACAGTCTAATGTCCTCTTGTTTCTAATTCATGTCTTTATGTCATCCCATCCTAAGAGTAATTGTTTTTCTCTTATGTGTGTACCTTCCACTAGTATGGTTTTCAGCATGCACCAAATGGTCCTTTAGCATGATGTTCAGCTGGTAGTAATTTAGGTACATTATAGTGTGTTTATATAGATTTGTTTTGCAATCACAGAAGAAGAGAATTGAGACTGTTTAAAATTTGGTAGTGTCCTCTTTCGAATTTTTTTTTTGTATCCAAAGATTTTTTTTTTTTGGGGGGGGGGGGGGGTTTCCACGAATGTGTCTGTTTTTTCATGCATATTTTAGCCTAAAGGGTTAAGCAATATTTAGGTTTACATAACAGTTTATTCATGAGTAAAAGACATGTTCTTGTTATAGCATTTTATTTCCTTACAGGCAGCCTCAACGTCACACTCAGTGCCTTCCTCTCCTCCACCTCATTCTCTGTCTGCCTTGGCTATAAAAGAATCTGTCGAGGCACGAACTTCAAACAGCAAATGTAAAGGTAATATATGTCATATAGGCACGGAACAATGACCTGCTAATATAAGTCCTAGGAAAAGAAGAAATGTTGCAGCATGAAACAAATGAACTTCAATAACATTAGTCTGTCAGTTGGGGTTCCAGTCTCAACACAGATGGGTTACCTCATAATTTTTCTGTTCCTGTAAACACCACGCTAAATGCCCATGGATGTCCCATGTAAAAAAAAAAAGACCAACAGACAGCAGTCATGGCAAACTAACAGCTTGCAAATGCATCAAATGCATAAGGCTGCCACCAGAGGTGCTAGCCTATTACTAGAATTGTTATTTATAGTTGACAGAAGCAACAGCTGTGACAAACAGCAGGTGCACATGCATTACTGCATAAGACACGTCACTAATTCTTTGGCAACCAGCCTGTTGCCATTTTCAAAGTATACAGTTTGCCACCTTTCCAAGAGGACACACCATAACATTTGACAGCTGAGAGTGTCGCACCATGTACTCAACTCAGTAGCTGGCTGACAGGACCCGATTTTCACTGTATACTATTTGTTGTCCCTTCCAGTTTCCTGTTGGGGGATAGAACCCAAACCTACACTGCTTTACTAGGAAGGAATTATAGGACCCACTAGATGAAGGTGAAGTAGGCTTGAGCAGAAGAGGATAAGAGGCATTAAAAGTTTTTTATTGTGCATCATAATCATTGCTTCTTTAGGACGCAAACTTCAATAATAACCTGGTCTCTGATGTTCCATTCTGTTCTTGCTATGGTGATCTTCACAATTATCTCCTTATACAAGTTTTGCTCTAATGTTCCATTCTGTTCTTGCTATGGTGATCTTCACAATTATCTCCTTATACAAGTTTTACTCTAATGTTCCATTCTGTTCTTGCTATGGTGATCTTCACAATTATCTCCTTATACAAGTTTTACTCTAATGTTCCGTTCTTTTTTTTGCCATGATGGTCTTCATTTTCTCTTAACAATCATCGCCTCTTGAAAGTTTATTTTCATATTCCCCATTGATCTGTCAGTATATGAATTTACTTTGATTCTATTGTTTAGAAAAGACATCATAGTACTCGCTGCGTGGGTTTCAGGGCTCCATTGTTGGGAGAGAAAACAACAGACTTGCTGCTCCTTAGCAAACATTCTGTAGAAAGCTACTGATTAAGAGTTTGCTGAAATGGGATGCTTTGGGCCAAAGTTGTAGATATCACAGCTTAGCTTTAAACTGCAACACAACATCCCAGTTGAATTTTTAAGGGCATCCACCAAATAAGAAGAAAAATCAACATCATACCACATTAAGCATACCTGTAGATGCTCCATTTCTTACAGCAAATGTCATAGGGTTTAGGTACCATGAATCATTTGGGTTGTTCCTCCCTGTGTCACTACTTGCTGGACCCACTCTTGTCCATATTCATCTGATACATCTGAGATTGTGTCTTCAGCCAACATTTGTTCATAGGTGTCCATATTTACACATCCTTTCGTATGATGTTACATCTGAGATTGTGTCTTCAGCCAGCATTTGCTCATAGGTGTCCATATTCACACATCCTTTCGTATGATGTTACATCTGAGATTGTGTCTTCAGCCAGCATTTGTTCACAGGTGTCCTTCTGAATGTGCGCTTAATTTGATATCATTGTGTGACAGCTGGTGCTTTTGCAAACAATAAATATGTGTGTTTATTACCTCCGACTCCAGCAAGTCTAGACTGTTTGAGTGCCTGTAGCATACAAGTGTTAATGCTTGGTATCCATTTATGCCACCTTTGTCCATGTTGAACCTAATGCACCTTAGACTGAGTATCAGACATTAAGATTGTAATTGTAAATTTGCTACTAGCCATTTACCTTGAAGCCACTGTGATCCTCTCCAGCTCCAGTAAAAGATTGTTTATGGCTAAAGACAGGAATCCAGTTCTTAAACTAGATCTGTACAAACTTTCTATGTTCTTTCTCTGAGATCGCTACGAAGGACACGAGTGAGGAGTATTGTCTGGATTCTTTCACCGGGGCACGCCGATGTGTTGGGAAATGAACAGGCGGACAGACTGGCTGGCTCTGCACAACTTGGTGGAATACTGCTACATGATAGGGCAGACGTGGTTACTGCCTTGTGGGAGAGCGTGTACAATTCGGAGGAGCAGATGGATCACCACAGTCTGGTGAGATTGATGCAGTTGGGGGTGACGAGAGGTTCTGGCAGAAGCTCGAGGCTCAGAGAAAAGGCAAGACAGACGTTTAATCAGAAAGCTACTGGCACCATTAGTATCGGAACTCTTCGCTGGCTGCTGAAGATGGGGACGAAGCGCTTATGGGAATGCACCGAGTGCTGTGATGTCGGTTCTTGAATCTAATCAAATCAATCTCTGTTCTTTTTACATAATGTCTTATACAATCTCTTGTTTGCACTGCCCATAGGTTCCCCAGTCATTGCCTTAAAGAATGAAATTGACAGACGCCTTTCAATGACCAACGAAGATGACATCCAGTCAGTTATTATCTTGCAAAGAGAATTTAGGAAAGAACAAGTAGGCAAGATGTTGTCCTTTGTTTATGTCATCTACTGTAACTCTTCCTGTTACTTGTGATCTCCTTTGATTCTTCCTGTCCCTAGCAGATGTCAGTTACTTTACAAGTCAGATACTACTTCATGTCACCTTCTGTTCATGTCACATGTCGCCTGCTGTGACTCTTCACATCACAGTCATATGTCACTTCCTATCCCAGTCACATGTCATCTCCTGCAACTCTTCCTGTCTCTGTCACATGTCACTATCTGCCCCGGTCACATGTCACTATCTGCCCCGGTCACATGTCACCTCCAGTAAAAGCTCCTGTCCCAGTCATATGTCACTTCTTGTCCCAGTCACATGTTACCTCCTGTTACTTTTCCTATCTCTGTCACATGTCATTTTTATGCTATGTGTGTGTGTGTGTGCAGTTCAGTGTTCATAGCAGGCCTTGAATCCTGAAGAAGAAAAAAAAAACTTGGAACCTCAAGGCCTTTGAAGCTGTGAAAAAACCTGGACAGAACAACGGCAACTCCATAATTAAATCAGGAAGCGGAAATATTTACACAACACATCAAAAACATTTTAAAAAAAGATTGGTTAGAGACCTTGATGTTTGACTTCTATGATGAGAAATTTGAAACCTGAAACTTTACCCAGAGTAAGTGTGAATGTGAATACACACACCAACAGAGCCACTCAAAGGTGACAGGTGTTCAGGAAGGTAGGAAAGGGACAGAGGTTAGCTTCACCATCATGGCTTGGGCTTTGTGACCCTCCATGGCTGTTGATTTAAGACTATATTTTTCATTGTCTCCTGGGAAAACAAAACTGAGCACAGTGAAAAGGGGAGGGTTGGGGATTTCTTCACTGAGTCACAGGAATATATTTATTCTTGTTATTTCTCTGTAGCTAATTTTGGCATTAAAACAAAAACACTATGAAAAATTGTTAGAACCACACATGGGTTGAACTGGATTAATGCAAAACATAAGATAATCAGACAGTGTGGGTCCAAACATTTAAGGCAAAGTTTGCTTCTTACAGAATGAGACCACATTATTTGCTAACATTCCGGCTAATAGTGACTGACATAACTTGAGCATAGTAGAAACTCCATGGAGAAGTGAGCAGAAAAAGAATCTTCTGATCGTCAGAAGAAGTACCCCTTCCCTGAATTTTTCAGTCCTTTTACCTTTCTTACACTCCCTGGAATGTAGGCCGAGTCACGGCTTCCAGTTTTCATTTTCCTGTTGTCTGCCAGTAGTAAAGAACACATTGGTTTAAAGCTGATAACACATGCCCCTTCTTGATCGTCACTGAGATTACTGCCTCAGGAGCCACACTGCCCTTGAGAAAGCAATCCAATCGCGTTCATTGTCTATTCGGTGTGTCTTGCAACCCCATGGCTAGGAGCAATTTTGCTTCGCTTCACCTTCATCTTTGTCACCTTAGGGCACATGGTTCGCTATATTCTATGACACCCCCTCCCCCCTCCAGCCATGTTTGTTCCTCGTTACCCTGTTTGTAACCTCACCTCACCTCACCTGGCACCAAGAGGGAGTCAGCTCTCCTCGTTGGGCACATTGATGTATTAGTTAGGACCTTCATTCCTCATTCACTGTGGACGATGTCTGGAGTGACATTCTGTACTGCCATTGACTGATGGGATTCCAACTGACAATTTGTGAATAGGCTTGTGGTGTACAAGCCTGGCAAAGTGGCTGATGACTGCCCCAAAAAACAGTTAATTCATTGCTAGTACACTTTTTTGGACTTTAAAAGCCTGCATTGGTTGACACAGTCATTTAAGACCTGTGCCTGTTTGTTGGGATCAATCTTACACAGCATTACACTTGCTCCAAAGTCAGCCTGTGGTTTTCTCAGCTGCTTGACCCAGTTGTTTGAGTGCCCATGATCTTGCTTGGCCACGTTGCCCTGGCTGTTTTAATGCATTGCAGAATGACTTTTTGCGTAGCTTTGATGAAATTCATGAGTTGGTTCTTTGCACTGGTTGGCCAGTCATCATCCTCTGAGTCCCTGATTTCCTATATTGTCATCTCTCTGCGTTCTCTGGAACCCACACTGAGGCTCCAGAACCCACACTGTGGCTCCAGAACCCACACTGTGGCTCCAGAACCCACACTGAGGCTCCAGAACCCACACTGAGGCTCCAGAACCCACACTGAGGCTCCAGAACCCACACTGAGGCTCCAGAACCCACACTGAGGCTCCAGAACCCACACTGAGGCTCCAGAACCCACACTGAGACTCCAGAACCCACACTGAGGCTCCAGAACCCACATTGTGGTTCCAGAGTCCACACAGGGAAGACATAATATGATATTCAACATTGTTCTCATAATCCACTGTGTTTGTATTTGATTCGTCAGATGAGGCCACCTAAGCAGCAACCAAACAGTATGGCCAACAGACCTCTACCTCTTCCACCCAGCATTAGCATGAGCCCACACCGATCCCGGCAGTACCTTGACAGTCAGAGTCCTTTGCAGCAGTTACATTTACGACAGCGTCAGCAGCTACCTCATGCACTAGTACCCCAGCGAAGCCTGGACGACTACCACTTACCTCGCTCCTCCAGCTCTCAAGGCTCATTCTCCTCTAATGCCAGGGATGAAGTTGTCAATGTGAAAATCAGAGACTCACCCACAAGAAGGCAGAAGCGACCGATGAGTGAAATCGCCACATCCTCAAGTGGTAGTCCAGGCTTTGGTGCAGTAGGGAGTAGTTTTTATGAGCAGCAACGACAGTGTTTATTGAGTAACTTTGCCGCCAGCTTTCAACTTTCTAATCGCACTGATGTCTGTGTCCTTGATACTGTCGGGCAGAACCAAGAGGGACACATGGTCACAGAACAAGGATTTCATGAAGCTTTTCAAAACAGAGGCCGCAATTTCAATAGAAGAGCGGACGTCAGACTGAGGGAAGTCAGAAAGGAAGGATTACCTGCAGTTCCACATGGTTCTCGTCAGTCTAAAGGGAGCTCGTCATCAGACTCTAGTCACCCACAGACACATGGCCATGACATTCTGAACCGTCCTGTCAGTTTAGGCCAAGAGCAGATGGCAGGTCCAGGTTTGCAACCAACATCCAGTTCAAGCCAAGGCCGGGGTGAGTCTGCGGTGCCTCGGTACCAGAATGACAGTCCCTTTCGTACTGACAAGCCAGAACAAGGCTCCAAGCATCCAGCAGGGTAAAGCTTTCTTACTTGATTGTTTGATAGTTCTCTGCTTTGTGGACCCATATTGTACTGGTGTTGCTTTGTAGATACTAATTTCTGGCCCTTTAATGTTAATGCTTGGTTGTAGCAATGTTTCTTTGCAATTAAAAGACTTTGTGAAGCCATGCTGTGTAGATTAATGTGCTTTGCGATGTGTGATAGTCAGAAAACGTTCAGAACTACATGTCAAGAGATGATTCTATACTTGCTGAGACTAAATGTGCTTACATTTTAGAACAACAATGATGCCTCAAGATGATGGTCAGGAGCAGCTGGTTGAGTGGTTAGAAAACAGGGCTCTCCCTTACGGCAGACCGAGGTTCAATCATTGGTGAGGGACAGAGATTTTTTTTTTTCTATCCTGGTAAGGTATAAAATAAAAGTCCTATTCTGCAAACTTGTGCTGTTGCATTGGTCATTCAACGTCAAAAACTGCAGCAAGTTCTCTTCCATATTCTTCTACTTCTTAGCATTCACTGGCTGTTCACTGTAGCCAACGTTCACTGGCTGTTCACTGTAGCCAACGTTCACTGGCTGTTCACTGTAGCCAACGTTCACTGGCTGTACACTGTAGCCAAAAGTTCTGGTTGCTTTTCAACTTCCAGGCTTCAGTCTTGTTCCAGAACTTGAATTTTGCATGAAAATTCTTTTTACAAACCTGGTTTACCTGAATGCAGACTGCTGGTTCCTCACCTCTCATGCAGAACAGAGCCCTGGAACCCAGTCACCAGTTCCATAATCCATTTGGCTCTTTGCTCTACTCAAAGCAGCTATTTGCTCAAAAACAGTGTCATACAAAGCACAACACTCCATAGCTGCAGCAAGGACTCCCACACATTTCTGACACTCCCACACTTGCTGATCTAAGGATAGTCTGCAATCAAACTCACAAACTAACAGAGTGAAAAGCAGATAGCTTAACCACTTAGCTACAGGGGCATACACAGGGTAGAGGGGAACACAGAGGCCCATTTAGGAAAGATAGGGGTGCAGAGTAATTGGGAATACAGAGACACGCATGGGGGACACAGAATAAATGAGAATACAGAGACACACATGGAGAAGATGGGGACACAATAAATGAAAATTCAGAGACACACATAGGGGCGCAGAATAAATGAGAATACAGAGACACACGGCATAGATGGGGATACAGAATAAATTAGAATACAGAATCACGCATGGGGACACAGAATAAATGAGAATACAGAGACACACTGTGGAGACACAGAATAAATGAGAATACAGAGACACACATGGGGACACAGAATAAATGAGAATACAGAGACACACATGGGGACACAGAATAAATGAGAATACAGAGACACACTGTGGGGACACAGAATAAATGCGAATACACAGACACGCTGTGGGGACACAGAATAAATGAGAATACAGAGACACACTGTGGGGACACAGAATAAATGAGAATACAGAGACACACTGTGGGGACACAGAATAAATGAGAATACAGAGACACACTGTGGGGACACAGAATAAATGAGAATACAGAGACACACTGTGGGGACACAGAATAAATGAGAATACACAGACACGCTGTGGGGACACAGAATAAATGAGAATACAGAGACACACATGGGGACACAGAATAAATGAGAATACAGAGACACACTGTGGAGACACAGAATAAATGAGAATACAGAGACACACATGGGGACACAGAATAAATGAGAATACAGAGACACACCTGGGGACACAGAATAAATGAGAATACAGAGACACACTGTGGGGACACAGAATAAATGAGAATACAGAGACACACTGTGGGGACACAGAATAAATGAGAATACACAGACACGCTGTGGGGACACAGAATAAATGAGAATACAGAGACACACTGTGGGGACACAGAATAAATGAGAATACAGAGACACACTGTGGGGACACAGAATAAATGAGAATACAGAGACACACTGTGGGGACACAGAATAAATGAGAATACAGAGACACACTGTGGGGACACAGAATAAATGAGAATACAGAGACACACTGTGGGGACACAGAATAAATGAGAATACAGAGACACGCTGTGGGGACACAGAATAAATGAGAATACAGAGACACACATGGGGACACAGAATAAATGAGAATACAGAGACACACATGGGGACACAGAATAAATGAGAATACACAGACACGCCTGGGGACACAGAATAAATGAGAATACAGAGACACACATGGGGACACAGAATAAATGAGAATACACAGACACACTGTGGGGACACAGAATAAATGAGAATACAGAGACACACATGGGGACACAGAATAAATGAGAATACAGAGACACACTGTGAGGACACAGAATAAATGAGAATACAGAGACACACTGTGGGGACCCAGAATAAATGAGAATACAGAGACACACATGGAGAAGATGGGGACAAGAACAATTGGGAATACAGACAACCTGCTTAAATGTGCCGTGTATCTGGAATTTGTGCTGTGTCATATCTGTAATAACTTGCATGCTTTCAAATCTGTAATAGCTGAAGATATTGATATCTGCATGTGGATTTTCCAAGAACTGTGCATCAGTGACAACTTCTGCTTATAGTCTGTGAACTCTTATCTTGACTGGCATTGGTCTTGATGTGCTTTCGACAGCCTACTTTTCTCACAAGTTGCTAATCATTTCTTTTACAAATGTTTTTTCCGTGCCACTACTTAACTTATCCAGTGTATTCATTATTTCTCCATGCCAGTACACCTACTTAATCCAGTGTATTCATTATTTCTCAGTGTCACTACACCCACTTAATCCAGTGTATTCATTATTTCTCCAAGTCACTACACCTAGTTATCCAGTGTATTCATTATTTCTCTATGCCACTACACCTAGTTATCCAGTGTATTTATTATTTCTCTATGCCACTACACCTAGTTATCCAGGGTATTCATTATTTCTCTATGCCACTACACATAGTTATCCAGTGTATTTATTATTTCTCTATGCCACTACACCTAGTTATCCAGTGTATTTATTATTTCTCTATGCCACTACACCTAGTTATCCAGTGTATTTATTATTTCTCTATGCCACTACACCTAGTTATCCAGTGTATTCATTATTTCTCAGTGTCACTACACCCACTTAATCCAGTGTATTCATTATTTCTCTATGCCACTACACCTAGTTATCCAGTGTATTCATTATTTCTCTATGCCACTACACCTAGTTATCCAGTGTATTTATTATTTCTCTATGCCACTACACCTAGTTATCCAGTGTATTCATTATTTCTCTATGCCACTACACCTAGTTATCCAGTGTATTCATTATTTCTCCAAGTCACTACACCTAGTTATCCAGTGTATTTATTATTTCTCTATGCCACTACACCTAGTTATCCAGTGTATTTATTATTTCTCTATGCCACTACACCTAGTTATCCAGTGTACTCGTTATCCCTGGGTTTTCTCCTGTTCTGCTTTCTCTCCAGTTTTCCTGATGTCATGACATTTTATGGTTCAGACTCCTCTTGACATTTTTCAGGTTTACTTGTCCTTTCAGATTTTCATGTTTTCATGGATTCTTTGTTCTTTTTCTTCTTCCTCCTCCTCTTTTTTCTTCCATCACTGACGCCACTTCCTCTGTCTCTTAATGCTTCTTTTTTTCCCATTACTACTACTTGTAGTTACTGTTGTTCTGCATCATCATCAAGTTGTCTACAAGTTGACTTAGCCAATCTGTAACTACAAGTTGTTTACAGGTCGACGTAGCCAGTCTGTAACTACAAGTTGTTTACAGGTCGACGTAGAAAACTACAAGTTGTTTACAGGCCGACGTAGCCAGTCTGTAACTACAAGTTGTTTACAGGCCGACGTAGCCAGTCTGTAACTACAAGTTGTTTACAGGCCGACGTAGCCAGTCTGTAACTACAAGTTGTTTACAGGTCGACGTAGCCAGTCTGTAACTACAAGTTGTTTACAGGCCGACGTAGCCAGTCTGTAACTACAAGTTGTTTACAGGTCGACGTAGCCAGTCTGTAACTACAAGTTGTTTACAGGTCGACGTAGCCAGTCTGTAACTACAAGTTGTTTACAGGTCGACGTAGCCAGTCTGTAACTACAAGTTGTCTACAGGACGACGTAGCCAGTCTGAAACTACAAGTTGTCTACAGGCCGACGTAGCCAGTCTGTAACTACAAGTTGTCTACAGGCCGACGTAGCCAGTCTGTAACTACAAGTTGTCTACAGGTCGACATAGCCAATCTGTAACTACAAGTTGTTTACAGGTTACGTTAACCTATTAGTGCTGCAGGACACAGAGTCTACACCTACACTGTTACACAGGGCCCACCTATCTCTCAGCAGACCAGACCTGACCATCTGCTCATCCGACTTAGCAGACGCAAGCTATCCCCAAGTCCTGGACGACATAGGAAGTGACCACAAACCTATACTCACAACTGTAAGCACCACCCCTAAATTACGCTTCAAGCAGAGAACCCGTTGGAATTTCCGAAAAGCAAACTGGAAACTATTTCAGGAAACATCTGACTGCCTCCTGGGAAGAATTGACAACAGCTGTGTGGAAACTTTTTGTGAAGACATAACACAAGCAATCCTGAATGCAGCGTCGAAAGCCATCCCAAGGGGCAGCCGGAAGGCATATAAACCTTTTTGGAATCAAGAAATTCAAAATACTATATCTGAAAGGAATAAAGCAAGAATATTTCTCGAAACTGCACGTTCAACAGAAGCAAAGATCCAATACAATAAAGCATGTGCCAGAGTAAAGCTTGTAGTTAATAAGGCTAAAAGAGATAAATGGACAGAAACTTGCTCCAACTTAGACCTTAGACAGAATGGAAATAAAGCATGGACTTTAGTTAAAAACCTCTCCGGAGAAAGTAGAAGGGTGAACCCAAAACCAGTGACAGATGGGAGTAAGACAATCACTGAAGACAAGAAGAAAGCAGAACATTTCAATCATTATTTTGCCTCGGTTAACAG